CGCAGGGGGACGTTTCCCACTTCCCCCGGTTCATCTCCTGTGAAAACAGCCAAACACGAGCATCCTGAAAACTCCCAGCAGCAGGAACCCGAGTGCATCAGCACCGCGGGCACCCGCCACGAGTCTGTTTTAGAGAAGACGGGACCCAACCGGTGCCAAGTGTGAAGGTTTCGTATCCTCTCCCTGGCCAAACTTCGAATCCTCTGACAAACCGACTTGAAATCAAGTATTAAATGGGGACATCTAGGGGAAACACCCGACGGTGCAGCCACTGCTTTTAACAGAGGCCTTGGCGGTAAACGGTTGCCCGTGCAGACCGCGGCGGTACCGGCACCGCTCGCACCAACGTGTGTTTTGTCCCCCCGTACGTGCCCCATTAACGAGCCGAGGGCAGAGGTACCGGAGGGGGTGCGTTTGCACGCTCCATCCTGATGTGCAATGCAGGTGAAACAGAGCATCTTGGGTTGAGAACATCTGGGCTCGGTGATTTCTCATGAGTTCCCTGATATTATACCACGGAGTGCGGGGGCTGGTGGTCACCTCTGCTTGTCTTTGCTGTTAAGAAAAAAAAGGGGTTTATCCTGGTATGATCAGCCCTCACGTTTTTATTGGGAGTTTAGCGATACTGGTGCTTGAAACGCTATTTAAAACTGCGGTTCACGGAAATTTGTGGCTGTATGAGAATTTCAGCTGCCTTTTTTGAAGAAAGTTTCATGTTCCCTACTTCTGCCCTTCTCCCCGCTGAGTTGTAGGAAAACCAAGATGAAAATGCAACCCGTGTATATCCCTGAAACAGAAAGAGGCTGAAAATCATTGAGCACTTGTTTTCACCTAACTTCATGGGGTTTGGATCTGATCGGATATAATGTGTGGATCTGGCAATACTGGAGTAAGAACAGAACAGAATAAGGGTAACTACTTTCAAAATTTCATACTTTAATCTCAATTTTTCCAGTGTTTTAGCTGTTGGGGTTTTTTAGGTTATCATTCTTATCAACAGCAGCGTTTAATTTCATTGTGTGAGGGGACCTGGGCATTGTACACAACCATAGAAACATTGCTTGGATGGGACGCCCAGAAGTCATCTAGGCCAGCAGGAGTGTCACCAGCACCAGACCAGGTCAGACAGCAATCTGTCCAGCTGAGTCTTGGAAAACTTCCCAGGATGGAGCAGACATGACCTCCGGGGTTACCTGCTCCAGGGTGCACCACCATCCTGGGGGAAGTTTCCTCATGTCCCACTGGTCCTCCTAAGCTGCTACCTGTGGTCAGTGCTCCTTGTTCTGTCATCTGCCTCCCTGGTAAGTGTTTGACTCCGCCTTTGTAATTGCCCCTACAAGAGCTGTGGGCACAGATTGGGGATATCTGTCCTTATCAGGTGCTGTAAAGATATGGAATCCAAGATAAATCTTATGCCAAAGGTTTTACAGTGTAGGTCAATGCCCTGTGGACTATCTGAGGATGGGCTGATCAGCTCAGGGCTCAGAGAGGTAACTTCTCTGCTGGCATAAATTTTGCAAACTCAAGTTACCCCTTCAAAAGCTTCTGAGCAACTCTGATTCACAGAACCACAGAATGTCAGGGGTTGGAAGGGACCCCGAAAGATCATTTAGTCCACCCCCTCTGCCAGAGCAGGACCACCTAGAGTAGATCACACAGGAACGTGTCCAGGCAGGTTTTGAATGTCTCCAGAGAAGGAGACTCCACAACCTCCCTGGGCAGCCTGTGCCAGTGCTCTGCCACCCTCACAGGGAAAAAGTTTTTCCTGATGTTAACGTGGAACCTCCTGTGCGTTGCCCCTTGTCCTGTCATTGGCCATCACCAAGAAGAGCCCGGCTCCATCCTCCTGACACTGGCCCTTTACGTATTTATAAACATTAATGGGGTCACCCCTCAGTCTCCTCCAAACTACAGAGGCCCAGCTCCCTCAGCCTTTCATCAGGAGGGAGATGTTCCACCCCCTTCATCACCTTTGTGGTTCTGTGCTGGACTCTTCCCAGCAGTTCCCTGTCCTTCCTGAACTGAGGGGCCCAGAACTGAACACACTATTCCAGATGTGGTCTCACCAGGGCAGAGGAGAGGGGGAGGAGAACCTCCCTCGACCTACTGACCACAGCCCTTCTCATACACCCCAGGATGCCATTGGCCTTCTTGGGCACGAGGGCACATTGCTGGCTCATGGTCATCCTGCTGTCCACTAGGACCCCAGGTCCCTTTCCCCTACAATTCAGCACAGCATTTTAAGGGCTGGGGCATTTTTCATCCAGCACTTGATACCCTATAAGCAGATTTGCTGTCTCTTGGCTCCATAGCCAAATGGAATCAGCCATTTGAATTCTTTCCACCCATTTCTTGCAGAAAGCTCACAGGTATCAAACCAAGTCAGCAAACAGGTTAATTACCTATCTATGAATTACTACTTCTTACTCTTTCTCAAGTGATAAATAAGAGAAAGAGAATATAAACTCCAGAAATGCAAAAAGCTTTGCAAATCTGCCCAAGCTTCTGGGAGCGCTGCTGATCCTGTGGACAGATGGTCACGAGCATCACCGTTGTGTTAACTGCAACCGCTGAGAGTCAGCAGAGCCCTCAGCAGCACGTGTTAGCAGAGCCGAGCGAGATTACGACCCAAGGAAAAGAAACTGCTGAGCTGACTGCAAGACTACATACAGCTCTGTGTTTTAAACGTTGGGTTACAGAGGGTCTGTTGACCAAAGTAAGGCAGTGGAGTTAGAGTTTATCGGTATTATTCCTGCTATAGGTTAGGGGTAAGGAATAAAGAGCATTTTCAATGGTTATGGCTGCGCTGGATTGAACCCGTTCTGGGTTGGAAGAGAAATGGGTGATAAACACTTTGTATATAAATATGAGAGCAGTTCAGCTTCCTAACAGGTACCTTGAACAAGAAATTGGGCATTCCAAAGCAGCAATGTCTGAGCTCCCAGACACATTGCACAGGACGCTGCCAGGTACTGGGAACTAGAAACATCACAGCCCTGGCTCAGAGGGACAGCAGAGCCCTGCAGTGGCTGCTTGCTACCGAGGACCTCCTCAGCATGGACAGCAGGCTTTGGGGTACCACTTGTCTGAGGCTGAGATTTGCATTACAGTCTAAATCCTTAAGTCTGTGCTATCTTGCACATTTTAATCTTGGGCATTGTAAGAATAATTTCTGTCACTCGATTTTAAGATGTATTATCATTTAACGCTGAATGGAAGGGGAGCCTTTGCCTTCACATCTGAGGGGAATTCCTGAAATTGTGGGAAAAGCATTGATGTTGTGGGACAGAGGTTGCCTCTGGTTCTAGGGCAGAATTTTTCTTCTGTGAGGAGTCATTGCCATGGTGCTAATTCTGTTTTGCTGATCTTCCAGCCAACTGAGATGCAGCTGAAATCTGGGTGTTTTCTGCAGCATCTGCATTTAGAGGGAGTACACTGTTTGTTGTCAGTAAGACATGCTGCAGCACCGATAGAGTATTTGCAGCTTCTGATGTTCATCGAAATAATTACCTGAACGGTAAGTACTTCTAAAAACGAGATTGGCATTAATGCTTTAAAATTACAGGCCCTATGTAACGTTTTGAAAAGAGATGGACAGAATGCTACATTGCTTAGGATTTAGAACCAGAGATCACAGACATTACAAATATTGTACTTCAGATGTAACAACAAATGCAGCACTCTAATACTAATTAATTAGCAGCTTGGTTAATACAAGTGCTTGGCAGCACCCCAGAAAGCTCTCAGCTACAGCATGTATCACCATGTCCTCCCTGCTCTGTCATGCCCTGGCTGCTCTGGAAGGTTACATGGCCTGGCTACTCCTGCATCGGCTTCTGGAATATGTATGGCTCAGGGGACCATGCAGAGCCACTGAGCTGCATTTTCAGCTCTCATTGAAGATACACCTTTCCTCTGCCCCCTTCCATTGCTTCCTTTCCTGTCTGTGAGACAGAAAAAAGTCCAAGAGCCCATGAAACCTGTTCGATTTTATGGTATTACTGTCCCCTGCATCCCAGCAGCATGTGAAGCTCCCAGGTCAGGCTTGCTGGTACTGTACAAACACGATAACCAGGTCCTGGCACAACGAGCAGATAATCGACACAGGAAAAACCCAGTCCAGCCATAAAGGAGATCTTTACATCTGTGCAAGCGAGATGCCAGGAACACAGGGCAAGAGGGGATTTTTGGCTCACTGAAGCTAATTCCTTAGTACTGCAGCAACCTCATCATGTAATCTTTTCCATAAACTGATCGTGCTCCATGTCAGAAAGCAGATGGGTTTCTTGCCAATAGTGTCCTCCATGTGGGGCTGTTTGCAACCCCCCCCATCTGCTGGTTCACAGCTCCCCCACCTCCTGCCTGCTGTTCTTGATGCTATTGCCATATTTCTGGTTTGTTGGAAATGTCCTTTTTTCCTCCATGGGTGGGGTAGAAGAGAAGTCAAGACAGAGAATTATGAGGACTTTAACATGGCCTCCTGTGCAGAAATCACATACGCCCTTTCATAAATCAGGCCATCTTATTAATACTGTTCCATTAATTGTGAACAGTACCTCTTGTCTGCTACTGTTTTAATTGCCTGTGCAACCTGTCTGGGAGCAGTGGGCATTTAAAATAAAATAAATCCTGCTAATTGTTGCTCACAGCTTTGTGCAGACAATGCCTGAGAGCTCAGCGTTTTCCAGATCTGCAGTTTCATTGCTTTCTCCATTATGTGACTGACCTGAATAAGGACCAGATCACGCTGCTGTTTGACTTGCCGGACCGAAACGCAAGGGGGAAGATTTGCTTTAATGAGTTCTACACGGTGGCGTGCATCCTCCTGTCCCACGACGTGTGTACCCTGTGGGTCCTGGAGTCGGTACAGGGACATCCACCCTATCCAACACCCCTGTAAAGGGAATCAGCTCACTGGATCTGATCTTTACCCATGGCATACAAGGGATGGAGAGGGTCCCTGGGCCTATGCTGCTGCATAGAAAAGGAAAGCAGGGAAATAAGCAGTCCCCCTGTTAATACCAACCTTGCTCCTCTGGGATTAATCCACCCCTGAACCTTTTGCAAGGTAGGAATCATCTAAACACTCCTCCCAGCTCAGGCTGTCCATCTTAGTTCTCCAAAAAACAAGGCCTCGGCTGTGTCTACCTGTGGGGAAGGGAGCAGAGCATCAGTTTTCACCCACCCGTTCTTGCCAGCTTGTAAGTGCAGCAGGTGCCGATGCCCTTCTTCAGCCTCCCGGGCATCACCTACAGCCCCGGCTGGGGAGAGACCGGTGCCTTTTCAGGGAAAAGCAGCAAGGACAGCAGGCTGTGGTGAGGGAGAGGGGTGGGAAAGCCAGGGTTACCCCCAGAGCTCAGCCTCGCTGTTGGAATTGTGCTGCAGCTCTGCTCTGGAGCAGACACCCAGCTGAGGGCCAGTGCTTGGGGCTACTGCCCGTGGGACTCAGGGTGGAAGGAGAGGAGCCAGCCGTGGGACGTAGCCCTGTCAAGTCATTCAGCACACGGGAGGGATGCAAAAGGACCTCATAAAGCAGTCTTGGAGCTTGGCCGGCTGTCAGTGGCTCCCCCCAGCACAGCCCGATCCCAGCCGGCAGCAGCCTCCTGCTCCTGCGTGGCTCCACGGCAGGAAGCACCAGGATTTTGGTATTTCCTGTGGGTGAGACTAGCGGGAGGTCACCTTTATTGTCTGGACATGAGCATCGGTTGGTATTCCACATATATTTTCCAAGCAGGAAATCAGTGCTTATCATCTGTTTCTAAACCTTTCTGCCCCAAAACAGAACCATCTTGAAAAGCAGTTCGTCCACCAGCACGTGGGACCTGCCTTTCGACTACTGGATGTAGACAAGGATAATATGATTGATTTTAATGAGTTTGAAGCCAGAAGGTTTCTCTTTGACATCCAGAAAGAAGAACTTAAGATATTTAAGGACTTTGATGTTTCTGGAGATCAGGTAAAATTAAAGAAATTACAGTCAAAAGATAGGCCATAAAAATGCCTCTCAATTAAAAATCAGTCCTTGGGATAATTTTGCACTGCAGCACACAGCAGCTTTTTACTCAAGCCTGTTTTCTTCCTGTTGACTTCAGGAGTGGGTGTTCGGTGACTTACAGCACAGTGTGAATTGAAAATGTTTTACGAGTAAGATAGCAACAGGAAGAAATATTTTTTGGGGTCAACCAGGCATAATTCTCTGTCTGAGGAGACTAATGGGAGGAGGTGAGCAGGACTGGAAGTGCCTTTATTTAAGCCATTTTCTGAGTTCGCTTGTGGCTTCTCATTATTTTCCAAGCTCTCTGCAGTCCACTCCCAGAGCTGCTGGCCAGAAGGATACCTCGGTGTGGTACATTCGGACTTGAAGCTCCTTCTAGAAACATTACAAGTGCTGTACCTTGGTTTATGCCTGTGCCATGGAGATGCTGACACCAGATAAGAGCTCCAGGTGAAGCTTTTTCTCTGATGGATCACTCATTTTGACCTTAAACCAGCTTCAGATTCCAAGGGATCTTGGCCCTCCCTGCCCTGTTACAGGGAGCAGCTCCCCACAACCAAGAAGGGACCAAAGCTGGTAACAGCAGCTCCCTCCAGCTCTGCATTGACAGAGTCCTCCTTGGGGAGGTGCATGCATGCATCCCTTGCCAATTTGCTTTTGCCACCAGCTCACCTTTGTCCCTGTCTGGTCACTGGTGCTCTTTCAGATCCCTCCCTGCTTTGAAGTACTCTCTGATTAATGACCACTTGCAGCTACACTGGTAGGAAATCCGTCATTAAGAGACTGTAGACATCTCTTATCTCTGCCACAGCTTCACACCATCCTCATGACGGCAGCATCCCAGCATGCTCCAGGAGCACACTCGGCAAGACAGCCATTAGTAACTGAGAGAGATCCCTTCTCTTTCTCCTCCTTTCTGCTGCTAGGTTCCTGGGTTATTGTTTTTATTGATAATTCTCCTTCTCTATGTTCCACCACCAGTATCCTCTTCAATTATTTGTTACAGGCAGTTGTTGCATCTCTCCTGTCAGACCTGCAGCTTGCAGCCTCTTGCCTATGTGGTTTAGCGGTGCAGCGAGGTATCAAAGCCTCTGTCCTGCTCGGGGCCTGTGGATAGTTCTCTAATGCCCTCAGAGTAGTTTCCTGGAATAAGCTGTTTCAGCCCCAAGTTGTGTGGATCCTGTCCTTTCATCTTGAGGCTGCCTGATCAAAAGGTCACTTCAAGCAGGAGCAGCACGGCTGCGACACAGCCATGAAGGCACCCCGCTCCCCACTTCCACCCAGCCACACCGTAAGCCCAGCTGTTACGAATTACTCCAACATCTGCAAGTCATTACAAATGGTAGAAAACCAGCCATGTGCCAGGGAGGTGCCCTACGAGCCTGTAACACGTTTGGGATCAGCCAGAGGCAATCAGTTGAAACCAATTTCTTCTAAGTCTGTTTACATTGTGCAAGGCTGCCTTGCTAAGCTAGGGACACATCTCCTCTCCAAAACTAGCAACCGAACTATGGGGAATTCAAGATGTTTGCAGTCTCCTGCATTGACAAACAACAACAAAAAGAGGAAGGGGATCATGAATAGCCTCCCAGCACGACCAGCGAGCTCCTAATAGATTAACAAGGACCCTCTACCCAGCTGGCAACAACTCAGCCTTGCTTCTCCATCCCCCTGGGCTCAGCTTACAACCACCAGATAGATGTACCAAACTTGTAGAAAATGCATAAATCAAAGTGCTGCAGCAAAGCAATTGCCGGTTCTGTTTTCTCTGCGGCACATCGCCACTGCTCTGCCAAGGTGAGCACTAGAGACGGGTGTCCAAGGAAGAGGAAGGACTGATGCAACTTGGACTTCAGCCTCGTGCCTCACAACTCTCCCCAGGACTAAGCCTGATGTTGGCATTACCTTCCCCCACGTACTGCACTAGCTGTGTCCTCTCGGTGTTTCAGAGACAACTTCTTCCTGCCCCCTACGTTCCACACTGGTTTAGCGAGTGCCTTCCTCCCCAGCGCTGCCATTGCCACGTTCAGACGTGCACAAAGCAAGGCTGGCTTGGAATGGGGCAGACTGGTCCCCAAGGCTGGAGCCACTCAGACCAGCAGTTTTCTGCTCTGCACTCCCCGCCTGCACGCGCTGGGCTCGGGCAGCTCCCTGCACCCGTGCTGCCGCGCTCGGGAGGGACAGCCCAAAGGCAGGAAACGCCGTTTGCCTCGTTAACGAAACCACCTAATTAAGTCCACGTGGAGAGAAACCAAGAGAGACAGTTTAGTTTCTCTTGCTAAATATGGCCTGTTTATTCTTTAGGCACAGCAATCCAGTGAATTTATTTCCCCCTCTCACCTTGCACACGGGGCATCACACCATTGAGCCTCCTCCACACGCGCTGCCATTAGAGAGCTTCCCTAATGAAGCAGCATGGCTGCAGCATAAGGCACTAATTAGCATAGAAAATTCCAGTCTCCAAGCACCACCACTGAACTCCCTTGAGACGAGGTTTCGGCACGCCTGTGAGGCAGCATCCCACCTCTCAGACCGATTCAACTGCTCTGAGTCCAAAGAAAATAAACTACGCGGCTGAAATCCCAACTTTCTGGGACTGTTCAGAGAAAGAGAGAACACAACAAACCACTCTTTGCAGAGCTGAGCTGAGAGCTCAGTGCCTTTTCCGTAAGGTATCTTGATATTTTTAGCCCAGAGTCAGAGGGACCAGCCACCCCAAGCTTTCGGCCAGATGCTCCCTACAGCATCCAGCACAGCTCTGGATTCTGCACTGACCAGGGCAGCTGCCCCAGCGTAAGCAGCAACAAAATAAGGTCCACAGTTGAAGACCATTTCCCTTAGCGCTGTCTCTGGAGCCCAGCAGCAGGTATTAACGCAGCCCCGGTCCACAGGAGCACAGCCCAAGTGGGACGGGTGGGGTAGCCAAACTGGGATGGAGCCTCAGGCAGCAGAAAGCAATTAGGAGTTTGGCACAGGGCCAGGAGCGAGGGTGCGACACCCGCCACAGGGCAGACACCCCACGCCAGTCCTAGCGTGTTATGCAGCACCATATAGTGAGATATAGGTCAATGAGGTATGAATATAGGCGAATACAAACATTATTTATGTTAATTATGAACAGAAACGCCACAATCTATGTAACATAGCTCTATAAATCATACATAATCTTCTCTCCTAAGCTTATACGCTGTAGGGTCTGAAGCAGCACTTTATTTCACTGCTTCCAGCAGTGACAAAAAATTTCAACCCTTGTGCACTTTTAACCTAGAATCCACGTCCTTTTGGGGTTTTGCTTCGGTCGACAGTCAGCCTGGAGTTCCCCAGCCCACTTCACACACCAAAACGTGCCACAGCTGCATACTAAGGCCAGCTGGGTGGGGTGTGGGTACGTATGCACACACGCGACACCACCAGGCAGACATCCCTCTTACTGCCTGACAAGCGACCACGCTTTGCTCAGCTACGAGATGGGTAAAGAAAGATCACACATAGTTTTAGAATCCTGGTGTTTGAGGAGATCAGCTCTGATGACTTCTCTGTCCATGCTGCAGGAGGTGGAAGCAGGGTTGTCTCATGGGTCAGAACAAACGGCTACAAACAAACCTTCGCACCTGTTATTTTATGCATATATATTAAAAAAGGGAATATGTATATATAAAAGATTATATATATACCCACATATAAAAGGAATAAAAAAATTATAAAAATATGTATGTATAAAAGGGAAAGTTCCAGGAAAATCACATGCTTGTTTGTAACTTGCATCACAAATTCTACTGTGAAATGATCCCAAGATTTAAAAAAAAAAAAAACAAAACAAAACAAACCTGAAATGTTCAGCTATGATAACATTAGACCAAAGTGGTCTGCAAAAAATTATTCCTACTCCTCTGATACCTTAGGTATTTAATCAAGATTATAAAAGTGGTGACCTGAATTAAGACAACATGTCAGTTAATGTAATTATAGGACAATTACACAGATCCATTATTTTGCACTGTTCACCAAGGAGCCAGAAGCACATCTGCAGCCAGCAGGAGCCGGGCACAGAGAAGGTTCACGCTGGATGTCTGAGCACACCTCCAGGCCCTGCATTCTCCACGGATTGCACACCTTATTTGCAAGATGAAACACTGTCACACACCAAAATTATTAGCAAAATGTGTCCCCAAGGTGTCAGACAGGTAATGAAAAAGTTGTAGAGCTCCAGCTCAGAATTAAAAGCCCTATTGAATAAATTTAAACAGAAAACCAACACTGACTTTATTTCTTAAGGCATGGCATTTCCAGGATTACTTTTATTTTTTAAATGCAGGGGGAAAAAGGTGTTGGTTTTTTTTGTGTTTTTTGGGTTTTTTTTGTTTTTTAAAATACAGAAGATTCTGTACAGCATTTCCAATAGAATTCATGATGGTTTACTCTCAATGGTACAAGATCTTTCCTCGTTTTTTTTTAAAAAAAAAAAAATCATGTAATTTAACAGTCTGAAGACAACCTGCTTGTGCTTTGCAGCTGATTAAAAAAATGTGCACACACTACTGCAATATGTCAACCAAGAAACAGAGGTACAACATGAAAATACATAATGCATTTTAAAAGTTACCTGATGTTCACAGCGTCTTTATATTGGCCTTGAATTCTTCATGGATTGAAGATTTGATTCTACAAGACTTTATAAAAGTTACAGGGCAAAAACAATGGTCACATCACTGGAATCCCCTCGCCCTTGTTTCACTGGGTGTTGGAACTGTGCATTTTCCACGTCACAACCAAATCTAGCACCATATCCTTTGTAATATGGATGTTTGTTACATGGCACACACAAACCGCATACAAAAAGTTTTACCATAAAAATGAAGATATTTATTCAAGAAGTACAAATTTGATGGTACCAGCCATCTTTGAAAGCCATTACCATGAGGCAGAGAGGACACAAACCGAAGTCTCTTGCTCAGAGCATGTGAAAGCAGGTGCCTTACAAATTGCCAGCTAACGCAGTCATTTCAGTCATTGCTCAAAAGCCACCTCCACTTTTTAAACATTCCCTGGACTTAAGAGAGGCACAAACAGGGTTTTTAATACAAGACCAGTTAGTTATGTTAACAAAGCCATCAGCTAAAATTTATTTTGTTTTAA